GCCCCTAAAAATCTACGGCTTCAACCGGATTTATACCCGCTAAGTTGGGTACGCCAGTCCGACACCTGACTATTACTCCACCGAACCCGCTAAGTTACGGTTCGTCTGAGACGCTCACACTCTAAACAAAATCAGGAGATCCCCGACAGCAGTAGTTTTACTGACCTCATTGGCTCCCGGACGGGTATAAGAAAACGGTAAAAACTCAGTCTGACTTGACATCATTTGGTTACCGATGTCTAGTTATGGGTGACGTCAAAGATGCCACTTAATGCAGTAGATCGCCCAGCGCCTCAGTTACATGCTATGAGCTTATTATTTTCGCACTTAGTGCCATGAAAGGAAATTGTCAGTAACACATGTGGTTATCTGCGTGATAATATTGGTACACATGCAAAATATTCACTGCAATCAAGATGTACAAAAGATTGATTGGTATTTACGGGTGCGTCAAAATGTCATTTGTCCCGTAAGTGTAATGCATGCTTTTATCGCACGAGGTGGCGGTGATCTTCCTCAAATATATGTCGAGATCCGGCGCCGACCTACATGGCAACTTGCGGACTTCCCCAACCAGATATCTTCCATCGTCCACCAGCCATCACCGCTCCAGCCAGGACCTCTAACCTCTCGACTGGCCTCCCAACACATGTGGTGGTGTAGTGCTTGTAAGTATAAGAGTGTGTAAGTATGATGTAGAGGATAGGACAAGGAAGAGGAAGAAAAGATTGCGCGCAGTCCAGGACCCGTTTATTAGGTTACTGATCTGGTATTCGTCTGGTTTTCGGTAAGCGAAGGTAAATTAAAGTAAAAATACAACTAATAAAAACAGTATCTTATGTGAGCCGCAACCAAAAATTCCTAATCCGTAATTTGTAGGGTTACTTTCATTATTGTCGTCCTGTGGATCGACTGTGTGGAGAGGATTTCATTGTCGCCCACGTGCCATTAAGCCCCCCTCGAGAAAGCGACTTTGACGTTACAAATGTGTGCTCTGTACATTCACGTGAGTGATAATTTTTGACGCGAATTTCTGCCAAATCATTTGGGGAGGAGCATAGTCGATAAGCGTCGCGTAGAAATGCTTTGAATTAATTTCACAAATGTCGGCTGAAATCTGATGAGTCTGTGATACCTCCCATTATTCATGTCATTCCGCCAAGTGGAGTATGTTCGCACGAAAGAAGATAATTATTTACGCTGGTACTTAAAACACGTAAAACATGAATGTACTTAAAACACGTATTTAAAAAAAATATTATTCACGAGAATTATTCTTTGCTTAAAATTTGCAACTTCTGTTGTAATTCTAAAGTGAAGAGAGCGGGCTCTTTGATATTTGAAATAGCAGTGCATCTGGCTAGGCGGTCTTAAGATTCGCGTCCCGACGATGCTAGGATTTTCCACACTAGCTACGTAGCTATGTCAAATTCACCCGCTGCCTGGAGAAAACTTTTAGCAGCCGGTTGCTCTGATCGATGGTTTTCCGTGGTTTCTCCTATCAACACTAGATGAATGCCGGAGCAGTATCTTACAAACGGGCCACGGACCGCACGCGATCTCTCCTCTCTCTTCCATGTCCTACCCTCAACCATACAGTTACACTTTCGTGCACTATAATACCACGCATGTTGGGAGACCCGTCGGCGGCTTAGTGCTTGTCCTGGCTGGGATGATGACCCGTCGTTGGGAGATAACTGGTTGAAAAAAAACGCTAGCCGGCGTGGAGTTCGGCGCCGGATCTCGACATCCAGCAGGGTAAAATCACTGTCATCTTTCGCGATAAAATATTCTCTACACTTACGAGACTAATGACCTTAGCAGTTGACAAGCTCGGAATCACTATTCAATCATTCAATCAATATTAGTACATTCTGGGCTGTTCATTTGTCTTCGAGACGCATTGCACCACAATTAATTTCTCTATGAGTTAATTTATCTGAATAATCTCACATACTCTTTGACATGATCTCAAACAAATCTTAAAATATTATTTTGTGTGACGCTATCGGAACAGACTAAATCTCTTGAGAAAAGCAGTCCTAACATCCAGCTAAACTCGCTGAACTGACACTTCAGAGGCGATATTAACTGGAGCTTCAAGTATTTGGGCTGGAGGGGAAAATACAGGATATGTGTACATCAAAACCTATATTTGACAGTCGCATATTAATGTCATTTCGGTAACTGGCGAACATTAAGGAGTGGGAGTGGAGGATAACGGGAGGACACCAGAATTAATTAAAATATATTTGAAGGAAGATTTTATATATTTAAGGACTAACAATACATATATCTAGCAAAATATTAAATTATTTCTGGATTTTGTCAAAATATTTTAGGTTATTAAATATGGCAAGAGCATTTTGAGTATTTTCTGTACTTTTTCGCAAGAAACCAGCCACGAACCTTTTTTTAAAGTACTAGTTCAATATTTCTATTCTTGGAATTCACAAATACTACCTCTGTCGGCTGTACTATACTAGTACTATTGCAACGAGTTTGCAGGTAGAACTGGCCTTAAGCGAGCACTAGTTTCAACAAAGCGACTGAGCCTCGCGAAGGATTTTGTAAATATCCAAAAAACATTGGAATACAAATCTATCACTAAAGGGTAAAAAATTGCAAAAATAAGAGTCCTAAACGATGAAACTATAATTCCCTTCCTGAACAAATCATCTAAGTTGTTGTCCGTTATTGACCTCCAATTGGTGTGCGACTGTTAAAGACATGTTTTACACGGATCATTAAATAAATATGCAAATACTTATTGTTGACAAATGTTGAACAAAAATAAGATTACTTCCGTGCAGTGAACATATAACATGTTTATAAAGAAGATAACTAGAAAAGGGCCTTACCGAAAACAAAAACTTCTCAAGCCTATAACTATTAAACGGTTAATTTTAAAACAGCCGTATAGCAAGGTTTTTGTGAGAAATTATGTCTACTTTAAATTTACATAGAACATAATTTTTGGTGGGCTTGATAGTTACGAAGATTACGCAAAAACCGTCGTAAAAGCAGCTTCACCGGTCCCTTTGCCACCGGATCACACCCCAAGTATGTTATGCAGTAAGTATCTACAAAAAATCATGCCAAGTTTCAAAACTCCGCGATTTGTTTCACTGGATTTGACTAATATGACTGGGCTACATTGTATGATTCAAATTACAAACTTTTATTCAGCTGCATCTGGCTGACGGGCGAACACACCCCACGAAGCGCTGCGATTTCCGGTGCTGCGCAACCGCTTTGGAACCTCTGACCATAATCGCCCGCTGACCTTGAGGAGCAGCTGTGCGCCGGCTCCGCCCCCGCCCCCTCGCCCCGCCCACGGCCCCGGCCCGCCCCGGCCCCCATTAGTGGCCCCCCCCGCCCCGCCCCCGCCCCGCCCCGGCCCCGCCCGCCGGCCCGCCCCCGCCCCGCCCCGGCCCGCCCCCGGCCCCGCCCCCGCCCCCGCCCGCCCCCGCCCCCGCCCCGGCCCCGCCCCGGCCCCGCCCCCGCCCCTCCATGGCCCCGGCCCCTGCTTCGCGGCGCGTCTGCTCCTCAGCCGCGCAACGCGAGGCGTCTGTGATTTCCCCCGTCTGCGCCCCCGGGGGAGTGCGGGTGGGAGGGTGTCCGTTCGACTGATCGAAAGCGGCTGTCCGCGCGTTCGCATTTCGACTCGATTTAAAGAGACGCTCCTGGGCAAGGTCGCGACAACCGAAAATGACTCGCGAGTGACCGGAAAAGGTGGCTCAGGGCATCAGGTGATGCCACTGAGGTTCCTCTGATTGGGAGGTCTTATGGTCGAGTGCCGACGGTGGCAGGATTTGCGGCCTCAGCTTGGTCCAATCCAGCAATGTCTGGAGGAGAATTCTAGCGACCGGCTGCTCTAATGGCTTGTTTTCTGTTGTTTCTCTGAAAATCACCAGGAGTCTGCCGGAGTAGTTCCCTAACAAACGGGGCACATACCGCGCGATTTTTCCTTCCCATTCCTTATCCTATTCTCACTCCTTACTTACACTAACATGCACTTCACTATAATGCTTGTAGAGAGCCCAGTCAGGAGCTTAGAGCTTGTCCCTGCTGGGGCGGAGTTGTCCCACCCTGTTGGTGGGAGATACCTGGTAGGGGAAAATCCCCGCAAGCTTTCGTAGGTCGGCGCTGGGTGTCCCCAGCCAGTGAGGGAAGATTACCACCTCTTCCCACGATAAAAATACGCAGTAGACTTATGGGACTAATGACCTTAGCAGTTGATCCGGGAATCACTAATCAATCGGTGCCGAATCTTACATTCCAGGGGGAGAGAAATCGTCGCGGGATGAAACATGGACTAATGGCCATTACAATATTACGTATTGGGAAACAGAAAAAAAAAACGTTGCAATACGCTAGCCGCTAGCAGACCGAAGGATACCACATCTTAGATGAGAAGTCTGAAGGCCATCTGCTCTTATCCAACGTTTCTGATGTTCAGTCCGATCAGTTGGTGAATTCTGAAGCAGCATATGGGGGCACGGGGCCGATCCCTCATACCCATATACTCACTTTCCGTTTAATAGAAATCCTCCGGCAGTTGTGTTCGTAAGAATGTGAAAAGCCAAAGCTCGATTCGAAAGAAGAAGAAGAAGAAGAAGACGACGACGACGATATTGGTGATGAAGTCGGCCGTTTGCTTATCACTAAGAGCCAATTTTTTGTCAGAAAATATTTATTCTTAAAAAAAATGACCAAATATTTTTATTACATTTGTTGCCAGTCGCGGTTTCACAACCGTCTTCCGAATACTGTTATGCCAGCCCGTCAATATCATTAATATGGAATACACTACTGACGAACTTTTTACAGTCTAACATCACTCTCTTCGCATAAATCACATAGAGAATCTTCCATGCAATTCGTTTCGGCCTTTCAAGATTTCTTGTTATTTTTCTATAACTGTCTATTTCGCCTCGTTGCTAGGCGAACTTCACAAATGAAGAAATGACATCATTAAAGAAACTAAGAGAATAATTATGAGAATAAAAAGTATAAAACAAGATGTTCAAGGGACCTCCAAGAAAGTACGATGGGTAAGGCTTCTCACTAGATAAGCGTCGACTTTATTGAGAGACGTTGGCGGTAAAATTACATTCCGGTCACTTCGGTTGTATAAAGACCCGCCGACGCATCAGCAGATTTAGTGGGTCTGGGAGTCGAAATACTGGTAGACGTTTATGAAAGAAAAACATCCTTGATTCTATCCCCACCTTGATTCTATTCCTATTCTATGGATCCCTGACCCTTCCAGCGTGTGGTTTAATGCCACAGCTCCTGATTTCCTTGATATCTTCAATTTGTTACGTTGTAAGGTGCCACTAATTCACCTGTGTAAAGGTGAATTGAAAAAGGCTTCCGAGCGTTTAAATTAGTTCCAATGAAGCTCAAGGAGAGCCATTTTTGAAAGTTGTCACGTATTATGTGATGATTTTGAAAGTTAGGAAATTTACTCTTATTACATTTTTCTAATAAAAAAAATACTTCAAAATTTGACTAAGTAGATGACGATTTTTGGAAAATATTTTTTATTCGTCCTCTTCTTCTCTTGTACTTCTGAACTATTCATGATTTTCTGTGGTCGTTTTCCTTTCCGTGGTCGGATCTTCTTTAACTGCACATCACATGCACAAAATTGAGACAAGAATTCAGGAAACGGACGTTGGGAAATATTCATTCGCGAATCGCACTATTAGGGACTGGAACAGTTTGCCCGTGACAATCTTCGATCCTTTTCCTCAAAGAATGAGCAAATTTAAAAATAAATTAGTTTGATGTAGATATGATATAAATATATTTAATAAAATTCAGTGTGTCTTCCTTAGTAATTAAGTATTATTATTATTATTATTATTATTGTTATTATTATTATTGTTATTATCATTATTAGCATTATTATTATTATTATTATTATTATTATTATTATTATTATTATGTGCAGTTCAGTGGCGTGAAGTGCAGTGACGTTGTGTAACTGAGAGAAACGAGTAAGTAAGAAAGACATTACAGCTCGCTGTATCGCAGTGCGGTGAAGTGTGGTGAAGTGAAGTTTGGTGAAGTGGAGTTCTATGAAAGATTGAACGGTGAAATGATTTTGTAAAGTTTGTAGAGTTTGTATAGTTGTTAAGTTCTGTAATGTTAAGTTAGTGTATTCTGCCACCAAGTTCTCACTCTTAATTGCAGAATTATTAATAAATCTAAATCTAAAACTGACTACTTCCATCTGGAACAGTCGCCTAGAAATCATCCAGGGCAACCTGCGCCCACCGCCGCTAGGCTGGGCCAACGGCCATCTCCAAACCTCTCACATGAGGTAGCCCTCCGACCCCTCCCACCTTTCACAATCCCCGAGGTGCCCAGGGACCTGTCCAGCGCTTTGGATAGAATGAGGAGACTCTTCCCAATAGCGCCGTCGTCGTGGTAGGTAGTGCATATAAGCGTCGTACTTATCGTTTTCTTAATTTCCGACTTTGGCTAAGAGATATGGGAAGTAAATGGTTTAAGAGAAGTAGATATACATGCGGATTAGCGTTTAAAGGGAGACTAGCTGAACTATTTATGAGATTAACTATTTATGATCAGTGGACATAAACATCCATGCTCATTGTTATTAATATTTTATTATTAATATTATTATTCTGTAAATATATTTTGTGTTATCAACAATGTAGTATTCTTATTGACTTGATAGACAATTACATATTCACACATACATGTTTTAATGTAACTACAGCTTCTACTAATACAACTACTGGCATATAGAGCAATCGTAAACAAGAACAATACTTGATTTTATTATTATTATTATTATTATTATTATTATTATTATTATTATTATTACCCCTCACTTAATTTTTTAAGTTATATTATATAAATATATATCTATAATTATTTGTAAGTTATAGTGTTCTTGCACCAGGTTAAAAAAACTACTTCGAAAATTAATAAATATTATTTGCCTACACTCCATTACTTTCTTTCTTGGCACTAGTCTCTCCCTCTTGCTCTCCCCCGCTTCCCACATTGACTGTTGGAGTACCCTGTTCAATTTTGCGCTCAATTCTGCACTTCATTTTTTAATACTAAACTCATTTGTTCATTGTAGCCTTGGAAAGCAATGCCAAAATAAACAGTTTCAATTTTTAAGCGGGGTAGTAGACTCTTAAACTTCAGATTTATTCATTTTAATTTGTATTTCAATGCATTGCAAGACGTAAAATGTAAGTAAATATCTTACAGAGTATATATTTCTGAAGCGATCAACAGGGCTAGTCAGGGGCTATTGTAAGTGTTGTGAATATCATAACTCGCAATGCAAAAAATATGGATAGTGAAAACTTAATTTAAATAATAATTTTAGGATTATTCTTTCGTACGAAATACGGATTTAAACTTGTCTAACATAGTTTTGGCCCATTTCTGCAATATTTTCTGATTCTTCCCTTACAAATTGAAGGAACGGAAGCAACACTCTTAATTGTGTGTCTCATCCTTTCTGTTTCTTTCTTTCTTACTATTTGATTCTCCCTGTTTCTTTTCCCTACAGCCTCTCTGTTTCTTTTCCCCTGTTTCTTTATTTTTATCTCCCTCCCGCCCCCTCTCTCTCTCTCATTCTCTTGACATCCTCCTTATTTTGTTTTTTCGATTAATTTAAAATGCCTATATCGCACTTATTCCTGTCATTTTATTACATCATTTCCAGGAATTTCACAATTACTGCATTCACTCCAACATTAAGATGCTTTCGTGATGAATTAATAACTATATTTACGAATAGTCAATTACCTAATTTGTTTGAATAATTTATTATTCATCATTAGTATCATCAATATGAACGCAAAGTATAGTAAGAATCATGCATGTATTTGGCATATACGGTCAGGTCAAAAAAACCGACTTTTGCCAGCTTGCGGTGTTGGTAGGCCTGGACTGTTTGTTTTTATTTATATTCCACGCTAGAGGGGGGTAAGCAGCGTAGAATATAAATAATCTAATGTGGCGACGATGACACATTCCCATCACCGTACGTAGCTCATTCGGGATGCCTCTCTTTCGTCATACAGCTGTAGAAACCGAGACAATTTCTATTCGAAAGTTACATCTTCATTTTGCCACGAATCGAATTTGGGACAGCTTCACAGCAAGCTCACACGCTGTCAATAAGCAATGCCAGGGGCTTATTCATCATTACTTTAATCATCAATCATTACAAAAAAAATATAATTACGTCCGGTATTAACATTCTCCAATAAAATAATTTCAAAATATCTACTTTCCTGTCTCCAACCTTAATCACTCTCACCTTCTTAGTCGTCTTTCCTTTCTCTGACTTTTCTCGTCTCCCTTTCCCAGTCCATATTGCTCCTTCCCGACCGTCCTATGATCTTGTGTATCTCCATCTAAATCACCGCCCCTTGCTTCCTCTTCCTTCTGTCGTACCCGTCTCGCAATCATCCAAACATTGATATTTGCCGGCAATTATACTGATAAAATCATTATTCCCAAAGTATAGTGTATTTTTATGGCGTGACGTGAGATTCGGCGCCGACCTACACGTCAGCTTGTGGGTTATTTCCGCCCTCCAAATTTCTCCCTCTAGAGAAGCAAAGCTCCAGCCAGGACAACCTCTAAGCTCCCGACTGGTCTCCCGAGATGTGTGGAAGCATAGTGCGTGTAAGTGTGCGTGTGTGTGTGTGTGTAACCAAGAGGTGAAGATAGTACAAGGAAGCGAAAGAAAAGATCGCATACGGTCAGTTGTCCGTTTGTTAGGATATTGCTCCGGCATTCACCTGGTGGTGATCGGGGAAACCACGGAAAAAACCGATCATATCAGCCGCTCTCTAAAATTCTCCTCAAGACAGTGGCTAAATTTCACTCAGCTATCTATCCGCGAAAATCCGCCACCGCCGGGACACGAACTCTACGAGTCGCCGCAGATGTGCCCCTGACGAGCTAAGTCGCCGGCGGTGCACCCACGCCGCACGCGGACGGCCGTAGGGCGGGGACGCGGGCGTGGGCGTACCTGCGCCTTTATCTGCGGCCGCCGTCGCACGCGCCGAGTCAATATTTGCGCGCCTCTCCACGCGGGATAATTGGTTTCGCGGGCGGCCGCCCCCGAGGACGGCGCGAGGACGGGAGGACGCGTGCGCGGACCGTGCCGTCGCGCCGCCGCCGCCGCCGCCGCCGTCCGCGAGGAAGCGCGCGCTATAAAGCGCCGGCGCCCGCGACGCGCGTCTCGCCACGCAGCGACCAGCGGGCCGAGAAGGAGTCACCAGCGGGCCACGAAGAAGAGACCGGCGGGCCACGAAGGAGAGACCAGCGGTCCACGAAGGAGAGACCGGCGGGCCACAAAGGAGAGACCAGTGGGTCACGAAGGAGTCACCAGCGGGCCACGAAGAAGAGACCGGCGGGCCACAAAGGAGAGACCAGTGGGTCACGAAGGAGTCACCAGCAGGCCACGAAGAAGAGACCGGCGGGCCACGAAGGAGAGACCGGCGGGCCACGAAGGAGAGACCAGCGGGCCACGAAGGAGAGACCAGCGGGCCACGAAGGAGAGACCAGGGGGCGATCAAGGAGCGACCAGAGGGCGACGAGGGGGCCACCAGAAGGCCACCAAGGAGCAAGGAGGTGACGAGCAGCGAGGGAGCGACCTCGCACCTCACGCGGTGGCTTAGGAACGCTCTGCAATCGTGAGTATTTATCTTTTTATTAGGTACTTATTATCACAACAATTCAAGTTGAAAATCAATTTATTTAATGAAGATTAACCCTTATCTGCCGGAATTATTTTGGAAAAACGTTTTGTTACAGCATTTTATAATTTAAAAAATGTTTACAATAATCTTCTCTCAATATTTCTTAAACGATGTATAATTTTGTACAGCATGCTAATACGGGCACGCTAGGCACATAAAGGTTGTGTTTCGACATTCGTGACGAAAGCGTTTTGACATTCTTGTGAAGCATACTTTTGTTAAAACGTTCTCCTTCTAGTTTGGGCATGCGTTCGCTATGACGCTGTCTTAGAGAAATTTGTTTTACTTGTCCGAGGTAACGTTGATGTAACATCGAGGGTTAACATTCCGGTTGATATTTCATCATTGCAGAAGATTCAGCCAAACATGTGCTTAATTCTTGACGGTGTGACGAGTTGCCTAGCCTTATGTTCAGGGGTCGATCAAATAGACTGAAGGAGTCATCATACACGCGTGTTATCGTCCACAAAGACTCTAGATGTCCGATTTAATTCAAACCACTCTTTAAATACTCCCGATTCAAATGAAAACGCAGTGCGAAACTTTCAGCAAAATCAGTCTTGTAGTTTTTGTGTCTATATGCGACATACATGTGCACATTCCATTCTAATTATAAATATATTTATAATTCGTCAAAAAGCATAAGAACTGTATGACGTATAGGAGTGAAGTATAATATGCGCAAATTTTCTTGAGATCCAGAAGCCCTGCACCAAACTTATACTCTGCAGACTATCTCATTATAAATGTTACAAACTTCTACGTTATGTAGACATGTCAAAAATTATCATTTTTTGCCAATGGACATATAGTGAGAAATTTTGTAAAATAATTATACACAAAATTCAGTTATATACATATGCAACATCGTGTGCACAGGTGCTCGGCAAGTAGATATATCTCCCGGACTGTGCCACAATGCGATCTGCTCTACAATTGTGTCTAAGGAGTTGCCTACCAATCAGGGGCAAATGCCATGTGTAACTCCGTTTATGTACATTTTCCATTACATATTTATTGGCAGAAAGGGATCATTTTCGACACCTCAAATAACCCTACAATCCATAACATTTGTTCTGAGACACTTGAACGTAGTTGAATTGTGTTTTTGCCGTGCGTAGAAATGCGTCTTCCTTCTGCGTTGTTGCCTCCTGTTAAGAAGGGCACACGAGTATCTCACAGACCCCCTAGAAACTGTTCAATCATCTGAAGATGCAAATGTTTATATTCGCGAAGGCGGCTTTTTAGCGACAACGGATGAATTCCTTTCGACACTGATGGAGCTGTAATATCGAATAGTTTCTGCAATGAAACTATGAGTAAAAACATATACACAAAATTAAAACATGTAACATAATATTATTAGAGATAAATATTTGCCTAACTTTCGCCATGTAAGTTTTGAATTGATTAAGGAATTATTAAAATCTTGTTTAATTTACTAATGTATACAAAAGTACCTTTTATTCTTTTATTTTTAAAGTGAAAATAAAATGATTGAACAAATGAAGAAATTTAAGAATTACAAACTTTAAAAAAGCTAGTATTGCTTCATGATGGTGGTTATCAGGTACTACTTAAGTTTCCTTTGTCTTCAGTGTAAAATCCTTTTTGGTGCTTCACTACTTTCTTTCCTTCCTAAAAGAACTACCAGGGCTTCTCGCAGTGTCTTCAGCACCTCTGGAAATCGCATAGGCTCATCTTGGCCATGCACCTTTAATATCGCTGCACACTGTATCGCTGCATCCACACACCTTGAACCCACGCACATCGCTTTGCCTGTCAGATCAACGGGTTTCGGAAAAACTAGACTATATACGAAATAGACAAAACCTCTATAATCCATAAATGTTTTAATTATTTTAATTAACGGGGAATTATGAATTGTGTGGGTGATTCAGAATTTTCCACACGCCACGTACAAAAATTGAAACGTTTATACGTTTCGGAGGTTTCGTAAAACAATCTTAGTGTCCCTGTCTGTGGGCTCCTCTACACCACGATGCTTATTCACTGGAGAGTTGCATTGTTTTGTAAATGTGTTACAGTTACGTAATATTTATGATTTAAAACTAATAACTAAAACTGATTTTTTACGCATTCGCGATTTTTAATATGCTTTATTTCCTACTATGTCGAATTTCGCTTTTTTGTGACTTACAACAGGCCGGAAAGTGAAATATTACAGTTCAGTGTTGCGGAATGAAATCTCATGCCAATTTACGAACTTTAAACTTTGATATCAACTCTCCGGATTTCTGTTATGTGATCACAATGAAGTGTACCCGTCAATCTTTTATCTAAGTGATGGATTTGGATTCTTCTCGTCCACAACCTCCAGCAATTACAGTCGTGTGGATAACCTGTGTCATCAGATGCCTTCTTTATGAAATTATTATTTCGTGACTTTCTCTTTTCTCTCCAATTTTCAAATTTAATTGCCGTTTTTACCCAGATTTTAGTGCCACACCTAAAATATTTTGTTCCTTAGCATCCGATGTCTACTTCCAACAAACCCCGTCTGATCCAATTGTTAACCAACAACCCCATTTTGTTCATTAACACCCATCAATACAATTTGTTTCGCACACTTTTGCATTAATTAAAGCGTTGTAAACTTTCCACCATCTGTGTGGGAAGTTGTTGCGACTTATTCCGATATATTCCGTTGTTATTTGACAGTTCAACTCCGTTATGCAACCAGTCCTAACTATCCAAATAGGTACAAAGTGTATGTAGTTCAATTTATGTGTTTGTTATTCATTAATAATTCCTGTAATTTTCTATAGTAACGAAAATTATTTAAGATCTCACGTTATAAATCATTATATTTTAACATAAAATAAAATTTCTATTTAGCATAAACAAAAAATTATTTATAAGAGAACAGTCGTCTAGATACGAATTCTAGAGAACCTCGTATTCTGGGAAAAGTGACGATTGCGTCTTGATCTAATAATAGATTACAGTATAATTGTACACGTCCGGTCATGAAGTGAAACCGTGAATACTTAGATTCAGAATTGTGTATAATCGGATGATTAAATAAAGTTCAATAATTAAGAAAAACAACCATATATTAAAAAAAGTACTTTAAATGATTTAAATTAGGTTTAGCAAACATAAGATTCACCAATCAATATATATTGTAAACTTTGTTTGAAAAAGAAATCAGATTGATATTATCTATGAACATTCCTATACAGATGAAGTAATATTTCAGAGGAGTATCCCTATTCAGTTTAGGTCAAGAGATGAACATTAATTTTTTAAACTGCCAATGTCTGGGCTTTTATTAAACCTTCCTCAGAGCTCTAACAAGCAATTTATATTTACCTGGCGATCAAGTTTACATTGAACAATACAATGTTGTATTGTAAATGGAATTCACACTTTGTAATATTACACTGAGTGACAAAAGTCATAGGATATCAATATGCAAGTACACATGTGGCAGTAGTTACGCGTACAAAAGATAGAAAACGGCAGTGCATTTGCAAAACTTTCATTTGTACTTAAGTGATTCACGTAAAAGGTTTCTGACGTGATTATGGCCGCACGACAAGAATAAGTGGACTTTAAACACGAAATGATAGTTCAAGCTCGACGCATGAGACATTCTAATTCGGAATCCGTTAGGTACCGAAATACACAGTGTCATAGTGTCAAGAGTTTGTCGACAATACCTAATTTCAGGCATAACCTCTCACCACGGACAACACAGTGGCTGAAGTCTTTCATTCAATGGCCGATAGCAGCGGCATTCGTGTAGAATTGTCAGGGCTAAAAGACAAGCAAAACTGCGTGAAATAACAGCAGAAATCAGTGTGAGATGCAATAACGAACGCCCGTTAGGAAAGTGCGGCGAAATTTAGCATTAATCTACTTGAGTGCCTTTGATAACAACGCCTGCATGGCCTCTCCTGGGCATTCGACCATATAGATTGGACTCTAGATGTCTGGAAAACAGTGGCAGAGTCCGATTAGTTCCAATTTCAGTTGGCAAGAGCTGATAGTAGGGATGAGTATGGCGAGACACCACGAAGACATGAACCGGGTGATCAACAAGGCAAAGGACTGTGCAAGCTGGTGGTGGCTTCATAATGGCTTTGGCTTTGGATAATCACGGTGGACTGTTCTTACATGGGTTCTCTGGTCCAATTGAGCCGATTATTAACAGGAAAATTATTATGTTGAGCTACTTGAGGCCCTTTTCAGCTATTCATGAACATCATGTTCGCAAGCAACCATAGGATGTTTATGGAAGGCAATGCGCCATGGCATCGGGTTGCAATTGTTCAGGATTGGTTTGATGAACAGTCTGGACAATTTAAGCGAATGATTTGGTCACCCCAATCGCCTGTCATGAATCCCATCGAATATTTATGGGATATAATCGAGAGATCAGTTCTGCTGAGGCTATACACTCGCAATTGAGGACTGTTATAGGAGCAGCATGACTCAATATTTCTGCAGAGAACTTTCAGCGACTTGACACTATGCCATGCGAGTTGCTGCATTCGTCGAGGAAAAGGAGGTCCGACACGATATTAGGAGGTATTCCATGGCTTTTGTCACGTCAGTGTATATTATTATTATTTGCAAAATTGCTTGTAAGGTAAATGTAAATTATGATAGCCCTGAGGAATGTTTAATAAAAGGAGAAACTTTGATAATAAAAAAAACTGCACACATTCATTTGACTTTAACTCAACAGGATACTCCCCAGTAAATAATTGAGGCCAAGAAATCTAGCATGTGTTAAAATAATATACGAACATCACGTTTACTCAATCGCATGTGCTGTATCCCTGGTACTGCCAACTTGCACATAACGCGAGGTCGTAGTAAAATATAATTTCTAATTACAATTATTCACAAATTCTTTTTTTATATAATATAAATTTTTGAATCCCGTGAACATGCTGACAGGTTATGAAAGCTTCGTTTTTACAGGAGAGCAAAAAAACTTTCAGCTGATACTGTAAATCAGAGATTAACGATTTCAAACAAAGCATACACACAAATAGTTTTCTTTGAATATTACCTTTGTTTGGATATAATTAATCCCTGATTTACTTCAGTTGAAAGTCGTTTTTTGCTCTCTTATAAAATTAAGTGTTCGTGACTTATCGGCTTATTCACCAGAATCAAGGAATTTTTTTTGGTTTATTTATTTATTTATTTATTTATTTATTTATTTATTTATTTATTTATTTATTTATTTATTTATTTATTTCCACAGACCGGCATTGCTTTACAGAGATTGTTTTCATACAATAACAACTTAAAATACAATAAGGAAATATAATGTAAAATGTGTTTTCTTCGAACTTGTAAGAAAGCTAAAACATGGTTTTATCTAATGTAATATCGTCAATAAACATGTTATCTGCGGGAGAAATTAGGGTACTTATTTTGGTAGTAACTAAAGCTGCTGATCAGTCTGACGTGTACAGCTTTCTTTGGCGGAATTTGGAAGTGTGGAAAGCGGCGGATGGCTGGCGTCGGAAGGTAGAGGAGGCATCATTACTCCTCTCTAATTGTTTGACTAACAATTTAAACGATGTCCACAGTATGTTCCACCTCCCTCCGCTCGCAACGAATGGTTTGTAATCGCGTATGCTTCAGATCAGATTTTGAAGTAGCAACGTGATGTGCAGTATACTACCAACACGCGGAGATCATTCTCACGTATCTGATTTGCAGTTGATACAAGAAAATTGTGATGCGATGACTGATGAAAGTAATTATGAATGAAACAAATTTCGTATTACAAATAGACACTTGTATCTTTAAAATCGTGTGAATTCACTGTCAGCAGCACTGAAAAGACTGGAGCGAGGTACATGAAGCGTAATGGTATATTCCATTTTCTTTTACCTACGGAACAATGTATAATCAAATTACACGACTATTCCTTCATTTACAGCAGAATGTACTTTCGGTATACTTTCAAAATGTAACTTTCGGTGTACTTTCAATCTTTCATTGTTCTTTCAAAATCCGGAACACGAGGTTGTATATACTCAGATTTTTTCTTTATAGAGTTATATTTGAAGTATTTTTCAATTAAAATTAATTAATCGTTCTTGTACACAAGCAAACTGATTTTTTAGTAAACGCTCGTTAATGTGTGTTAGATCATGTTGGAGTAAAGGGAGAAAACTCCTCGTTTTCTTTTTCTTTCTGTGATCATCTAAACTTTCGCATCCTATAACGGAAATTACCTTTCAGTAATTGGCAGGCCTGTTTGCGCAGCGCCGGCTCAGAAGGGCGACGGCTGGGAAGCGACTCCGCGCACGGAGCGCTTGGTGAGATTATCGCGTGAGGAATTTTTATTTTTTATTTTTCACCGATGAGTGTTTTACTGATAAAATGGAGCAACAACAACGTTAGAAATCATAATTAGTATGAGCTTCTAATTTTACCCTAATTACTCTAATTTGTCTAATAACTGAAGGACAGATTAGTGGTGTGTTGGGGTAGAACTCTACGATACGTATAAAAGTAGTAATCTTATTATTTCATGGTTAATAAGGAACTCCTTTTAATTATATTTAAATGTATTTTTAAATAAATTATTTTCTGATAATAAATGGAAGTAAAGCAGTTTTACCTGCGCATATGAATTTATTTACATTGCTGTGGGTAATTATTATATGATTACGTAATTAAATACAATCAATTTTACGACGAAACGAAATGAAACTAGAGATGTGTAACTCATATGGCACTCAAAATTTCCCCGAGCATCTACAACAATGCAAGATATAGTTTACTAAATAATTCTTTAAATATAATATTTGATATGTCCTAAATAAGTAATAGAGTATCCAAATACATTGTAATTATATTTGTGAAGATTTGAACCTAGATTATATTCGAAAATATGGAGAGAAAGGTTTGGTATGTGTCGTCAGGTATTACGATATATATTGGTACACAAACACATACGTCACGAATGGCAATATATATAAATTCATAATTAATAAAGTATCTCAGTCGCTAAGGACTCATCTGTCACATAAATGAAAAGGCAATATGATATGTATCTGTACATATTGTTTCTGTGTGCAGCATGCTGTCATACGGTTCGCAAACAAGGTCTACGCTTTTGAAGAATGCTAACATACCATGTTTGTAAAAGGATTGCTATTTTCGTTAGCCGAATAATTTTATTTTTCTTAATAATTTATTTAAGATCTCTTAGAAAAAGAGTCGAAACAAAATTATAGAAGATCTTTAAAGTTAACTTAGATGGAATATATTTAAAGACGTGAAACGCTATACAACCAACGAATGATCTGATGGCATCGACGAGACTAAGATGTATTGGACTTAAAGCGCAGTATTATGTGGGTAAAAGTGTAAAGACACTACTTGATTTCCCAAACCTGAGTTTCATATAATCGTCTGACCCAGCATACTTTGTAACTATGCTTCTCGGATAAGTAAATAATTTCACTTCCTGTAACTTCTCTTGAATTTGAGGTTTTGTCAACATTTTCTTTGTCCTATTTAGATGCCTCGCGCCGGTGTCCGTGGGTCGCACAAAATGAGGAGCTGCCGTCCTCTGTGGTTGGTGCTGGTGGTGCAGGTGGTGTTGGTGGCGGCGGCCCAGACTGAGGAGGAACTCAGGACCTCAGCGCTCAATGAGGACCCACGCTGCAGCCCTGCCTTGACCTCAGGTAACCCATAGCTCGTATGTTCTTTATTTCAGGAATGTTCAATTGTAAAAATTGAAGCCAGACCATCCGGGTTGGTCCTAACGTGCCACTCGCCTTCCACGAACAGAGCCGATCGCGCCCGAGCGCCACCCCCTTCCCCTTCCGTCGGTCTGTACTGACTCCTCGCAATGTATAAACGAAATATAATGGATATATAACATTAATTGGACTATAGTCGTTATGTTAGAGATGTGTGTGAGTAGAGAAAATGTCAGTACGACGGTAAGGAGAATGTAATTACTAGGGAAAGGATTTTGGGGTGAAAATAATGGCCTTAAAGGAGGGGTAAAGTTTCTGAAATACATAGAAAACGTTGCCAAGAAAGGTGCTGCTCAAACAACTGTATTGAAGTTTAAACCATTTATATGAACTCAGTTTCTAGATATACTCTAACATTTCGCACCACATTTTGCTTCTCTATAGAGTCCGTAAGAGGTAATTTCTGCACTCCCATTTAAATGTCCTGATTTGCCATTCTGGGCAGCCATTTAAACCCTACGTGAAAGGGTAAAACTGTTGCAGAAACTTTGTTAAAATTTAAATTTGACTTGCTGCATATGGACCACTGTTGCTGGGATATATGTTACTGGTCGCTTACGTAAAATATATTTTAATATTCTTTTAATATTGCTGACTTCTGATTAATTGAAATTCTAAAAAGCTGTTTAAGGAAAAAGTACATTTTTCTGTCCAATTGTTTAAAAACTCAGAAAAGAATAGTGAAAAAGGTGCTGAAGCATAAAATAGAGGGAAAAGGTGGGAATTGTAGTAATATTACGAACACAAGCAAAAAGGAGCAGCAAATCATGTTTATTTCGCTTCATTTTATCCCCCCAAATCCATATATATTAAACTATCAGTATGAAAACAGATATATATTTGAAAAGGTGCCGCACCTTAAAATCCGTTCCCTACTAATGACATAAAAACCGACAACCGACCCTGCCAGGATTCGAACCTGGAATCTTCTGATCCGTAGTCAGACGCGTTATCCATTGCGCCACAGGGCCACACAACAAAAGCGTAAATGTCCAGCTTTCTGTTGTCATATTTCAGTCATTGAATGAATCTTTGAACAGTTTATCACCGTTGATTTGCTAGTGGAGAATGGCAGCTTTATACCAACGTAGGCAACTATCTCACAAAATTGGATGTAAGCGTAATGTAATAAATAAATGATGGTGATAAAATCTGATTCGTTCACCAACGAGGAAAACCAAACATTACAATAATGTCGTAATGAAATTTCTGAGGGAGCAAATTTCTGCAGTTGCCGCTGCACCGTTTCTGACCGGGAAATCTCTGAGTTCGAGTCTCGATGGTCCCTGTGGATTTTCTCCCCTAGCTACAGAGCTAGAGCGAATTCAACCGCTCGCTGATGCAGAATTCCAGGGGCCGGCTGCTCTGACCGGTAGATTTCCAGTCTCCAATAATGCCAGTCGAAAGCTGGAACTGTACCCTAACAAACGCCTATCTGTGTAAAATAGTGTGTGTAAATTCGGCGTGAAGGTTGTCTAAACGCCCTCATAAATGCAATGTTTAATTAATTTGTGTTTTTTTGTTTTTAATTCAATTTGGGTGACCTGCTATATAACACCATTTGCATTCAAATGACCAAATTAAATGACTCATTTTCCGTATACAGATTAAAAATCGTAATAGATCATCTAGTGCTAGAGAGATATATCAGTTAAAACATCAATTTGATGTACTAGATCATCTCAATCACTCCTTAATTTTCTTGCTGGCGCTCAATTTTAATTGGAAAAATTAAAAGTGGAAAAATATTTATATTACTGTCAATATTGTCAGCCACTTTCGCTATTAAAAACACACATTTTAACTTAAAGATATATTGCATCGATAATAGCCCTGTATACTGTAAGTAGTTCATGAATTATAAAGCATTCTGGAAATGCAGCACATTGTATTTTGTATGTTACAAACTTTATACTTCTTGCTATCAACAGCATGCGTCAAACGAAAAAATGACATAAAATATTAGAAGTAAGATACCTTATGAAGCAAGAAGTAATCATGGAATTACGTAAAACCTTAAAGTAAACCCCTATTAGCCGATAACGAATGAAAGGATCTTTAACCGAATTTACTATAATTATTTATTTTCATAACATTTCATAAAGTATTATTCTGCAAAATGTAAAGGATTAGACAGAGCTCCTCAGGGTAGAATATATTCCAAAATTTTGCAGATCTATCCCATTATTCCAAATTACCATTGAGGTGAATGGATCACGTTTTATATTGTAGCAGTTATTTATTACATAATTTTACATTGTTAAAAAAACAACTTTCTGTTACCCCCAAATTATAATACTTTATATACTTTTAATTTTATTTTTTTTCTACTTGCCCCCATCTTAATTATCCTTTCTAATTAATTTCTTCTATTTCAAAAGTTTCGTAAAGAAAAGTAGTAGTTTCGCCCCTTAATATTAATATATACGCAGACGATTCACAAGCAAGTTAATGGCACAAGAAGTGTTCAACGAGGTTTCCAGGCGAGTTGACGCCAGCGTGGACCTTTTCGTACCGCATCACGTCTCCATACGCTGACAAATCTTAGAACTTACGAGCACGCCAAAAAGAATTTGGAAATCGACCGGCAGCCCCATTTACAGATCCGATTTCTTACCTCGCCCACGGAAACAAAAGAGCGGGACGCTATAAACAAACTGCTCAAAGAATAAATGCGCTTTTGGAAACATTAAAATTCACTGAGTTCATTTAAAGTAAGTGTGAATTGATTTGAGAAAGAATAAAATCGGGAAGTTTACAAAACTGCAATTCAGTCAGAAACAAAATGCAGTCAGTGTTAAAAATATTTCCATTACTCGGTTTCTAGTAGAATTCAAAAATTCAACTCAAAAATTCAATTCAAAAATTCAACTCAAAAATTCAACTCAAAAATTCAACTCAAAAATTCAATTCAAAAATTCAATTCAAAAATTCAATTCAAAAATTCAATTCAATAATTCAATTCAATAATTTTGATATTCCAATATGTTGTAGCACCTTGTATCGGAAACTTGAAATTGGAAACTTAAATATTCGTTTCTCCCTTTCATTTAATCTAACGAAAATTAACTACCGCCAAGGCCCGGCGTAGTATTTTGTAATGACCTGCGTAACGTGCGCGTGGTCACGAGAAAGGCGTCGAGAGGAACAAGGAGGCCGCAGGTGCGCCGCGTTTCCTTCTTCGCTGGGGGATTCGATTTCCTCCCTCCACCGAAGAAGAGCCTCCTCTCTTTCCATCTCAATCCCCCTTCCCCTTCCCCTTCCACTTCCGCCGTGCCCTCCATCCACCTGCACCTTTCTTCCCACGCATTTTCCGTAGCAGAAGCGGAGCGGGCTAGGAACCAAACATGATTCTCGTACTATCAACTAACAAAACATCCGACTGCTATATACGAATTGACGTATGCAAACTAGAGGTGCTGCAGCAGCATATTCTCGTATTATTTGTAACTATTTACATAATATTATAATTCTAGTTGAAAGTGATTAAGTACTTAGGTTCCGCAGACGATCTCAACCCTCTCAGCTAACATCCGTGAGCCAGAGTCTAAGTACTGGTATTTATGGTTCACTTTTACTTTTCAGAAAAATGCTTTCAACGAAAGCCAGATCTGTGTTATTTTTATAAGCAAGGCTCGCATTCAGAGTAAAGTAAGGGGAGTAATGACATTTTAAAAAAAGGCTTTGAAAATTTGTAAGAAAGGGACGTATTTAATCAAGTTTACAATTTTACATAAATATGAAGTCTTTATTCTAGAAGAAAATGAATTCCTTAGCCCCGATTTTCCAACCATTAGTTTTGAAAGGTCGAGGAAGTTACAGAAGATTCGTATGATTTTGAGAGTTCGAAAAACAGAGTCCACTGCAATAGCAAGTTTCGTTATAAACTGATGATACGATAAAATGTTTGTTTTAGTGTGCCATTGAAAATTCATGAAAGATTCACTAACAAACATATGACAAGGAAACAAAATGCTTAAAAATGGCAAAAATTACGCAAGTGTTTAAAAAAATGACATAAAAGGACAAATATTGACCCAAGATCTATTCATTTCTATTACCTACATGTCATGATAAACATTTATGTACAAGTTAGCTAAGTCCACAATGCACCAACGAAAAGATGACATGTCAGCAGAATACGAGCCCTGTTTGTAAGTGTACTTGGATATATTTGAGCAAAATACTAAAGAATAAAATTGAACATATTATTGGAAAAAATCGAAAATGTATTTGGAACGTTTGTAAAGAACTCTTTAATATTAAAATATTCGTTTCAAATTCAAGAAATCAGATCGTTCATGCAGATCGATCGAATCATATCAAATCTTATGAAAATCGTATGTATGGTTGAGACTTTTTTCACAGCAGTCGTTTTACTGGAAATCAATTTTAGGTATCAAAGACCCACCAACTTCTGACTTACCAACATATTAGAGAATCCCCACTCACTCCGTCATATCCAACATTCCATCATTCCCCATCACTAATTCCATTATCCCCATCCCAGCAATGCGAGAACAAAATGGATTAGGAAGATGCTGAAACCCCGTAGAGAAGGCATTAGGAGCTGCAAGTTGGGGTCACGAAAACGCGACAAGCAAAGCGACCCAAACGTAATAAGAAATACCAGGGGGCTAATTGAGGATTGTTCTTCCCTGAAAGAAAGAGGAATATGCAATTATTGCTATTAAATTAAATGTGGATTGAAACTGTTGATTGTCTTTGAAATACGATTATACAGATTTTCGTATTTTTTAGACATTTGTTTAAACATAATAAAACATTTTTCCTTTTATTATTTTGTTTCACAACTTTTCGAGGTGTGGATCGACTCTCATCTTCAGATCTTCTCGACTATTAGATGAATTAATGGATATGATCTACTGGGTATGTGTTTGCCATCATTTTACGTAATCATT